GAGGGAGAGTGTTCCAGAGTTTTGGGGCATAACGGCTGAAAGTACGGCCACCAATGGTGGAAGGAAGGGCATAAGGAACATGCAGAAGACGGTGGATAGTGGGTTGAGGGGGTAAGCAGTTTGGAGAGGTGACAGGGCATGAAGAGATTTGAATACGAGCGTGAGGATCTTGAAATCGATCTGTTCGGCAATAGGGAGCCAATAGAGCCTGGCTAGAATTTATGTGATGCGGTACAGAGTTTAGTATGGGTGAGTATGTGGATCAGCTGGATTTTGTGAATGGGGAGATCGGTGAGGAGGGCATTTGAATAGTCAAATATAGTTTAAAGGAAGAAGGAATCACTGAATGAAGAAAAGAAAAACTTGTTAAATTCCAATAGTACCCCAACGCACTCTATGGGAAACCCTATCCTTGACTCTTGCCAAGCTGCACCTAATATTGTCTGGAATTAGGTAAGCAGGATACATCCCTCCAGGGAGAGAGCACTCATTCTATTCCAATACATTGGAATTTCCATGTGTATGTGGGGGCATGGCACACTCAGTCTGATTTGGATACTCTTATGCATGTTGATGGGTCTCTGCATGTGTCAGACATCCAGCTGACTAAAAGAATTGTTCAGATCCGTAAGTAACTAGTCAGAGGTCCCTCTCATACCAGACTGTGATTTGTTGTAACTCTTCCCACTTGCTGGACAAAGCTACTGGCTGTGAACGCTGCGTACGGAATATTAGTGCGTGACTGAATCAGCTGTCAAAAATCCCATGCATTTCCTTTTGCTATTGTAAGCGTATGACTACCGGAATTTCTCCCCCGAAGAGTTTGCAGACTGGCTCCAAACAGGCTGGAGTTGTAGAGTGACATTCATCTAGCTCTGTTCACACGGTAGTGTGAGGGAGACTAATCTATTTACATTATTTTGCTGTAATCAAAAAAGTGATTGCAAGTGACAAATGCTGAAGTTCTGCCACAGTGTAAGATACCTTACAAATTGATTGCCTCTATAAAATTGAATGGTTCTCTTAAATTCAAATAACTAATATGGATTGTGAATTCAAAAGATATCTATGTGTGTGGAGTACTAATTGATGAGGGAGGGGAAAGGAAACAGCATAAATACCTGAATTGTGACAAAGGAAATCTGATTTTAAAGCAAGCCCATTTCTGAAACCATTTTTAAAGTAACTCAGTAGTTGTGTTTAATTTCGTTTTGTTTTCATTTCCATTTCAATCTTATTTCAATCTTAATGCTTCGGTTTTAACTCTCATCCAAAGGGCACACCTCGGACAATGTAGAACACACCCAACACTGCATTGCAGTGTCATCTTAGACTATATGAATTCCATGTAGGGCTGGAACCCACACCTTCTGACTCAGAAGTGAGAGCCTGCCTGATACACATATTTTTGTCCCAAACGGAACAGGCCCGATATGCTGAATGGCATCGCTGAGTTTCCTATCTTAGTTGGATTGGCCCTGAACATTTCCCCATAGTAGAGGAACAAAAAATACAGTGAGAGGTTGGCCTAAAGCCTACACTGCTCTGGTAGCTGGTCACCTCATTATCTCTGCCAATGAAGGAAATGTGGCAAGGAAGGGATCTAAGGATGAAATTGGAGGAATTGAAATTGAGCATTCCTTCACTGAAGGTTGTTCTAAAAGGCATTGTTAAAGATATTTTTAAATAATAATCCTTGCAATTTGATATGCTTTTCACATTGGGAGGACTTCTCAATGCATTACTGAGGATTTAAAGAGTAGTGACTGTATTTTGAAGCTGAACGTGACAGCCAATTTGCACACAACAATGTCCCACAAATAGTCATGAAGTGAATGATCAATTTTACCTGGGGGATTGTTGGCGAGCATCCTGGGAAAAACTCCCTTATCTTCAAATAGTGACACAAGTTTTTTAACGTACAACCTAAAGAGGCAGACGGGACCCTGGTTTAATGTTTACTCTGAAGGAAGGCATATCCAACAATGCAGCACATCCCCAACACTGTATTTGAGTGTCACCTTAGACTATATGAGTTCAAAATCCTGAAATGAAGCATGAACCCACAATCTTCTGACTTGAGAGGCACTAGTGCTACAAACTGCTGACCCTTAATTTTAAGTAAAATTGCTGTCATTTGAATACTAGTTTACAGGTGACAAACTCAAAATTTGATTGACTTTATTTGGTTTTAATCTACATTTTGAATTTCTAGGAGAAATATGTTTCGTACTGCTCCATTTTCAGCATTGTATCTCTTGATTTTGTGTGGGTCTGTGGGTTGGGAGCAGCAGAATTGGGGGAAATCCATACTGTTCACTTTCGTGGGAAATTTTAATTCTCGTTTCCTCCAATAGTTCGGTGAGTCACTGCAGGTCCGAACCACACACATTGAGATATATACCAGGTTTAAACTCTGTACACAATCACCCAGTACCTGCCAGGCTCAAATAACTCCCTATTCAAAATCCTCAGACTTACTTACATACCAATTTATGTCCTTGCACCTCCACACCACTCTGACCTGCTTACAACCCACTCCATTACCCGCCTTCCCCCCACTTGCTTAGCTGGCTCCGGTCTTCTACACATCCCTCATCCCCTTCCGATCCACCATTGGCGGCCGTGCTTTAAACCTCTTCAGCTGCAACAGTGGAGCTCCCTGCCCCATTCCCTTCTGCCTGCCCCTCTCCAGATTGCATCTAAAGACCCTCTTCTTTCACCTCTCTCTCTGGCTCGGTGACAAACTCCGCCACCGTTAAGTGCTCCTGCGTAAAGGGCGCTATATAAATGCATGTTGCTGATGTTTGAAATCTGTTCTGTGCATGGTTAGCTCATCTCAGCTAAGGTTTATGAGCAGCCCCATGAGAGTTTTTAATGAAGAAGGGCCTTTGGCCCACTTGATTACACCCTTCACAAATACAGCTCATCACATTTTCCCATCACAGTAGCAAGCTGATTTTAAACTAGTCCAGTGTCACCACTTTTCCTGCACCACTCTTTCTTTCTGTGGCAGCTATTATGTAATGTGTATTGCACACCGTGACTTACTGCCAAGGTTCACATGTGAAAAAAAAGCACTTGGGTGATGAACAACCTGCTTGTGATTTCTGGGTCCCATTATGAGTAATATTGTTTGTGAGGAGAAAGAGAGTGCAGGTGTGTTAAATTTCTAATGAATATACTGAAATAGAAGAATGTTTTTTTGTCAAGGGTCTTCCTAAGAATATGCGCAGAGTGAAAAAATTGTACAAAGTTGGTCCTACAAATTTGCTTATCTGTGGTACCGTTATATCTCTGAAATAACAAATGCATTTATATGGTGCCCTTCAAGTAATGTCTCAGTGCAATTGGTGGGGGAATCCAGAGCAAGGGGGCATACTCTTAAATTTAGAGATAGGCCATTTAGGAGTGAAATTAGGAGGCAGTAGTAGAAATCTAGAACTCTCACCCCCAAATGGCTGTGGATGCTGGATCCAATCACATTTTCAAGAAGGAAGTAGATATTTGTTAGGTCAGGTTATTAAAGGATATGGGGCAAGGGCAGGTAACTGGACTTGAGGTAAAGATCAGCCATGATCTTATGAAATGGCGAAAGAGGCTTGAGGAGCTGATAGCCTACTCCTGTTTCTATGTTTGCAGATGTCATCAAGGAGGGAGTATGCAGGAGGGAAATGAAAGGGATCAAGCATAGAGCCTTGAGGTACTCCAAAAATGACTGAGCAGGGATGGGAGAAGAAACCATGGGAGGAAACAAAGTGGAGACACTAGGTAAAGTAGGATTAGAACCAGGAGAGTGCAGAGTGGAGTAGAGGACAGAATGGCCAAAGCATCAAAGGCAACAGGGAAGTCAAGGAGGCAGAGGGAGCCATGGTTGCAATACATACAGTATATAATTTTTGGCTTTGTTGAGGGCTAACTTGCTGCTGTGGACAGAACAGAAACTGGACTGGAGGGGCTCAGGCAAGCAGTGCGGGAGATGTGGGAATGAAGTTGGGATGCATTCCAGGAATTTAGAGAGAAAGATGGGCCAGTAGTGGAGAATTTTGAAGGTTCGATGGTGGATTTGGTGGAGGGGAGGAGGGAGAGGAGTGAGGACGATATTTCTTTTAGGAATCGTGCCAGAGACAGGAACAGGTTGAAGATATCCCCAAACATGGGTCAGAGGTGGAGCGATTTAGCAGGGATATTTAAAGGGTATTCATATGTATTTGAGTAATTGCTATAAAGAAATACAAATTACCTGCTGTATGCTAACAGCTGTTTTTTATTTGTTGTGCACACAATATGATCCACTTTTTATAAGGAGACATGAAATTTTCTGAAGACAAGTGTGTTCTTATGGTCCAAAAATGGTTGCAGTATATTATACAAAATGCATAAAAAATATAAAAGAACACATAATAAGAGCTGGTCAATATTATAAATTTAGGGGAATCATATAATACTTCCATCTAACAGCATAGTACAGCATTTATGATACTTTAACTTCCAATTAAACAAATATAAAATCCTCCCGAATAAGTCACCATTTTTTGGAGAAACAACAATTAACTTTGCGATGCTTCAATAGCACGGTAACAAATCAATAGTTATATTGTTGCTCCTAGGTTCAATACACATGGGGGGAGGGGGGCACATTAACAATATCATGAGATATTAATATTGTGATGTGTATATATAATGTATATATACACATACACCAACATTGCGCATGTTAGACCAGTTAACAGAACATCAAACACTTAGTGAAACCCAGTGAAGGATGAAAACAACCCAAGTCAGCAGCTAAACAACTAGTGGCAAGTAGGCATTTTAACAGCTTCTCTTAGGTACAGCTCTTGGTTCTTGTGCTGCATTTACATCTGTGATGATAGGGGTGAGAGATGGGCTTTCATCCCTCCCCACCAGTTGTGCTACTCAATTATGTCGTGATTTAAGCAAACAAACAATGAGCTGAACTAAATGAATAAACGATTAAGCAAAATAATTTTTTTTATCGTTTAATAAAAAAGTTGAACTTTAAAAAAAAAGTTAAATAAAATTGAACACAACTATTGAAAGAGAAGCAGAAGTAATAAAAGCAGACTTACATACATTACAAAACTCCTGAACGGAAAGTTGTTTTTCACTTACCTACAGTACGACCCATCATTAAAATCAAGTTAAAAAAATTTCAAACAGAAAATAACTTTATTTCCACTGAAGACTACACAGGATCACTGCTGTAGTTCTAGAAGGTATCTACATTTGCATATATTTACAGCCTTTCTTATTTACACAATCAGAATACAGTATTAGAAACATAAGGGCTGTCTCAAATTAAAATCAGAACCTTAGAACTTGTCACTTCATCCATGCTGAAACAAATTGCAGCTGCACTATAAATAGTTCTTATTTATGCTGCGTTAAATTCTTCTTAGAAGAAGTCCCAAAGAATTAACAGAAAAGGCTTGTGATAATCCTTTGTATTTTTTAAAGTAGTCACTGGTAGAACGTGTTCTTTAACATTTCTCCAAGACCTGTTTTAAATGCTTGGTTCTGACCTTGAGACTGGCTGCAAACCAACACGTCGCAGTTCTTACATAGGGAGAAAGTAGGAAAAATTCATTGTGGTCACATTGCAACAAAATATCTTCTGCCCAATGCAAAATGTGTGAAGACAAAGGAAAACAAAACAAGAAAAAAAACAGCACATTGCATGAATTACAGTGCAACGGTTTAAAAATAAAATTGTACAACACAGTCTGAAAAGTGGCCACATAAGCAGCTGTCTTTGGCAAAGTGGTTGGCACGTGGTCCTTTACTGTTACCTCTTGCCCATTTCACTCTGTCTCATGAAATGGATATTATTTACACTGTCTGACAATTCAGGGTATTGCTCAACAGTTGTTACAAAATAGCCGTCGTAGCCTTGCACCCTGCCAGTGCTGAGCAGTTGCTGCTTCTCTCCCTCTGTCCATGAACGGACGCCTTCTTCTCCATCCCGCAATCTTTGATCCTCTCTGGCCCAGGCCTGTGTTACAGCACGCTGCCTGGCCAGCTCCAAGACTCGAGCTTTCTCTTCATCCATGGTTGTGCCATACCGTGTATTTAAACACAAAGAACCAAATTGAAGTTCAATATCAGTGTATCTTCTAGTCCTTCCATTCAGAACTGCATTAATTTGGGATACAGTAACATTGACTCCATTCTCCAGGGTTCGCCTGCCACCACTGAGGCCCAGAATAGCGAGATCCCCTTCTGCAGGTCCCAGTTTAATAAAATAATGTGTGTCCACACCATCTATAGTGAAGTGCAGGTTTTCCAGATAGAATGCATTATTTAACACTGCAGCGACCCTTCTTCCATCCTCATTGGCAACACTAATGATGTCTGTGCTCACTCTGCCTCCTTTCACAGCAAACTTAACCCCTTTACCAAGGATTGAACCACCTGTGGCAAATTTTTTCTGGAGTGCTTTTGGCTGGCACCCAGCCCCACTCCCTCCATAGATCCGACCAAAATGCTCCAGTGTAACAAAGGCTTTGAGTTGTTTCTGTACCACACACTGGACACCTAAAATAGACTAATAGAAAGAGAGAACAAAATTAATAAACAGTCATCCTTTTGTGAGGCTCTTCTAAGTATTGGGTCAAGTGTGATATCTGTAGCCAGTAGCTTTATCACTGGAGTGAACAGCTAATGTACCGAAGCAGCTATCAGTCATCATAAGCTCTCAAAATATTCAGTCTTGGAATCATTTCAGTGCATCAAATTTAAATCACAGATTTTATTGTTAAATAGTTTAAATACGGCTTTGTACACTAATCTGCCAGCAGCTGACTGTTTCTATAACAACGCAACATTATTAAACAGTTCTGGTTTTGTTCTTGGATTGGTTGGAGACTTTGTAAGGTATTGGAATTACAGTTTGATTATATAGCTCTCCAGACTATGGTCTACAGTCACACTGCTTGCAGAAGACTTTACTACCCATATGTGAAGGGAGTGCGATAAGATGACGATTTTGAGAAAATGTTTTAGAAATTCTATTTATAATAATAATAATCCTTGCATTTGATATAGCACTTTTCACGTCGGGAGGATGTCCCAAAGCGCTTCACAGAACACACTGTAAAGTGAATTGACTGTATATTTGTGGGCGAACGCGGCAGCCAATTGCGCACAGCAATGTCCCACAATCAGTCGTAGATTGAAAATGACCAATTTATTATTGTTTTTGGTTTTGGAGGGATTATTATTAGGCGTGTGGAGTAAGGAAATTGGCCAAGGTTTTGCCCTGCCTGGAATTGAACTCAGGTCTCTCGCTTGCAAAGCGAGTGCTCTAACCACTGAGCCACGGGAGATTGATGAGATTGATTACTTTAATTTTAAACAGAAACAGTAAAATAATTCCTGTCATGATCCAGACATAAAAATAAGTTAGTAACAATACAGTAGTCCCACAAACAGCCATGAAATGAATGGTCAATTTTATTTGGGGGGATTATTGGCCAGAACACCAGGAGAAACTCCCCTCTCTTTTTGAAAAGTGCCATGATATCTTAGTAGCCACCCTTGCATTTCATATAGCGCCTTATCACATCTTCGAGACATCTCAAAGCGCTTCATCAAATAAACTGTATGTGAATTGATTGTATATTTTGTAGGTGAAACATGGCAGCCAATAACATCTCATCCAAAGGATGGTACCTCTGACAATATAGCACTGCATTGGAGTGCCATCTTATATGAGTCCCAATGTGGGCTTGACCATGCAACCCAGAGGTGAGAGCACTACCAGTAAGGCAGAGATGGATGAAAACCCAGAGGTTCAAAAAAAATGAGGTTAGAAATAGGAGGGGACATTTTACAATGTTTATTGAATACAAAGGTAAGAGCAGATGGCTGGAAAAAAGCCAATATTGGAATGGAGAAATGTGATGATAATTATCACCAGAGATAGCTATCAAATCACATGCAACATTGTTTACCCCATTGTTCTCTGTAAAACCAAAGTCCTAGAGCAATGATGTCGGAAGTTAATGGCTTGTTAGCAAGAACATCTACAACAGATCCCTGCAGCACATTCACAAAGAAGCTCCAATAATTCATATATATCCAGTGAAAGCAATGGCACACATTTACAAACTAACAACAGATTCAGTTGAAAAGGCCTGTATGTATTTGTGTACGTATTTAACCCATAGTTATTCACAAGCAAAAATATATACAAGACAAGAGGAGAGAAGTTGATTTGCTATTGCACTTTTGTTTTCTACGAATAATAATAATTCTTATTTGGTATAATGCCTGCATGTCAGGAGGGAGAATGACCAAATGGAATAATAGACAGGAAAAGTTCATATTCCAGTGTTCCCAAGATTACTATAATATGGGCACATGTCAACAACTTGAAAGGTTATTGATATATTTGGCGGTTTATAATGTGAATCATGTTAAAATCCTCTAGTTTCGACCATTTTTGTACAGCTATGATCCTCCGTATTGCTTGTAAAATACAGTATTCTTTGTGTTATTTGTATTGGATTTATTTATTGTAATTATTCTTCAGTTGCATCATGGCCTCAAACACTCATACTTTGTACCTTGTTTTCCCAGTTTATATTGTACAGTGTGAATAATGCAGTGTCTTCATAACTTGAGCTCATATTAGAGGAAAAAAGTTGGAAACAATCCAGTAATTTCACAAATAAGTCATGACCTTCCTCCCTCCCTTTCGAGTGAGACTTGATGGTCAACGAAAGGTAACTAATTCAAATGGCTGACCCAGTGTCTAGGATGTATGACTACTGCTCTTTATACCAGTAACTAGTGGGTATGTAATTGTGCTGCCATGGCTTCTCAAGGTACCACAAGTAGCGAAGAACTATGCAATTGACTGAAGGAGACTTCTCTCCCAGACTATTTTTCTGTTTCTATATTCTAAACATGTGAAAAAATAAGATTGAATATTCCATTGAAGCAAATTGGTGGTGTCTTTGTGGACTCTTTTATAGTTGATGTAAAATATGCTCAATAGGTTTGTCCATGCAACTGACCTTTCCAGACTCTTTTGCATTGTATTGAAAGCTGAAAAAGATGCAAGAGCTGGGCCACCTAATACAGCAATTGGTTTTCTGTTAGGTAAATAATCTACTACTGGCTTCTCACTTGCAGTTAATTTGCTGAAATGATGAATATTTGATTTTAAATGTCATTGGAGAGCTTTCTGAAAAAGCCTGCAATATCATGATGCTGTATCAAGTTTACTGTGCTTAAGTGACCTCCACGTTACATTACCTAATATCAATGATTAGCTTGTAATTAACTGGACAGTTCACTTAGTGGCAGCAACAGCCAATATCAAGAGTTTGAGTTGAGCAATTAGCTGCCAGGAGCCAATATTGGCACGCCTGTTTCATTCTGTGAGTGAATTGCCAGAATTGTTTCTCCACAGAACTGGGTGGTCATGGTAACATAGTAGAATCCAAACTGCAGTATTTGTTGCATTAATTGTAATTTCCCTTTTGAAAAATTTGTAGCTGGTGAATTGCAGAACCCAAATTGTGAAAGCCTCAAAAAAAGGTTGGCGAGCAAAAATGGTCATCAGTCTCCGCTGGCCACATTCAATGCCATCAGAGCTACAGGACTCGTTTGAGACATGGAGGTTGCATTCAACACAACAAATATGTTTTCTGAATATCAGGAATTAAAAGTTAAAATTGACAAGGGGGCAGTCCCAAGGACTGCTTATTTTACCAGTGCTGGCGTTTAAATTTCTAGATTGATGATTGTGTTTCACCTTGAAGCTATTTTGGTGCCATCTAAATTTCTGCTAAGCCCTGCAAATGGAGGCAAGCTTCAGCTAACAGAGGGGTATAGGTTGAGTGAGTTCTGAAGAATGTATGAATGTGTGTAGGAAAGAAATCCACAATTGAATAAATTATGAAATTGTCCCTCACTTCTGGGAGAAACAGACATATTCATACATTCATTAAAATATGTTCTAAGTGCAAAGAATATTATCTTCTAAGTGCTTTGTACTGGTATGTATACCTTTCAGGCCAGTACTTGGGCACCCTGGCAGCCATATTCAGATGTGCAGTAATGTGTGAAAGACAGTATGTGATTTTTATCACTCATTACACCTTGCAATTCTGATCCCAGTGTGATTGACAAAGACCCAGTCAAAGGATTCCTTTATTGGGGGTTCCTTTGGTACTCATAAGCACTTCACATCGACTTACAAGAACTTTGCTCCGACACAACTTACTTCCGGAACAGAGTTCTCCTAGGTCAATATTAATTTTAATTCTTTATTAAGGAATCCTATTAAGAAATACTGCAAATTAGACACTGGTTGAACCCACTTGAGAAAAAACTTAATGAGGGCAATGACCTTGTCCATCTCTCGTAGACTACAATGTAAAACATCAGCACAATCCAGTATGTGCATTTCATTTCCAGCTACATTGGATGAGACATCCTCAACTGTACGTGGGATGGGATGTATCAGAATCCTGACCAGATTGAGACCTGGACAACTAGGAATCTATTTGAATGACAAAGTCTCCTTACCTCTCTTACTCCCATAGTTTTCTACAGGAGAATATTTTGGAATAGGCTAAAACAGTGCTTACCTTAGTGCTGTCCCACTGTTGTGTTTTCATCTGAGTGTTCTCCAGCTCATAGGAAGGTTCCATTGAAATAATTTCTGGTTTGGGATATCCTGGGATAACGTTGTGAAGCTGGAATCCAAATGTCAGCAGCCAACTGTTCACATCTGTTACATTCAGAAAGGTAAATCACATTAAGATTTCCTTCTGTAGTAGATACATGCAATCGATTTCCATTATTGTGCATGTCACAAAAATCTAGACCACTAATAACAACTTGCTTTATATAACGCCTTTCACGCTTGGTAGAGTCTTGGAGTGCTTAATTGTGAATAACTTTTTTGAAGTTTAAAATGTAACACAATATTTAAATTGTAATAAAACCACCTGAAAAGAAACTAGTGAGGGCAACCTGGTCCCTTCATTTCATGTGGCAAATCATTTGACTCGCATTTAGAATGAGATCACACAAAGTGCCAAGAAGCATAGCAGAGAATAACCAGTTGAATGAACCTAGAATCTACAGCACTCAGATAGGCCATTTGACCTACTTAGTCCTGGCCAGAGTTTTTACTTGACATAAGTTTCCATCCATCCCAATCCCTAGCCATAACCTTCCCACAGCAATTTACTTATTTACTTATAAAGTGTGTTTTCCTGCAGCAGACTTAATTTTAAAACATTATTTCTTGCTTTGTCTGTGTAGATTATAATAATACTTGCATCTCAAAACACCTCACAGTACTTTCTGTAAAATGGAGTGAATGTGTAATTTATAGGCAAACACAGCAGCCTATTTGCACACAACAATATTCCACAAACAACTATGAAGTGAATGACTGATCTTATCTGAGGGATTGTTGGCCAGAACACCATCAAAAATGTCCTTCCTTTTTTGAATACTGTCATAGGAGCTTTCCTGAACAGACAGGCACGACCTTGGTTTAATGTCTCATCCAAAGAATGGCACCTTTAACAATCTGGGGCTCCCCTAACACTATTGGAGTGGCAACCTGTGAGTTCAAAGTTCTGATATGGGATTTGAACCCACAATTGACTGACTTGGAGGTGAGAGTGCTAACAAATAGGCCAGGTTGATACCTATCCAGTACTTTGACGATACTTTATTTAGAATTTTATATTGAAAGTTATGAGAAGCATGCAGAATGGGATTCGATTAGATTATGTGGGGAAATGACCTGCTACTGTTTTGGAGCATTCTACAATTATTTGATTTTTGCTTGCTACATAATAATAGTTGTTATTTTATATATCTAAAGCACCTTGTTACTATCAGTCTGTTATCATATTTGAATTTAAGATTAATCTTTGCAGCATTCCAACTTCCAATCACTGACTAGGAATGGAGAATAAACGTACTTAAATTCAATGTTAAAAATTAAAATGATGAGGTTTTAAAACTAATGACCATAGAAACTGCCATCCTCCTGAATACAGACTATACTCATCAAAGATCAGAGGACCTCAAAATGTTCAGTAAATTGTCATTTAAATTATTTTAGTGAAGTTAGTTAACAGGCCAACAACTCTTGCAGCTGGGTTAAACCTCTGCTGCTAAGTTCTACTCCTATGTAAAAGCTTACACAACCTTGAAACTTTATTGTTTTCTCTGAAAATGCAATTCAGATGCACTATGACTGGTTTTGCAAACATTACACAGCTCCACTTGTTCATGGCAGATCACATTTTGAATGCAAATGAAATCCAATATATTTTTACATTAACTTTCATTTGCTCTTGAGGCAATGCAGACCAAAAACAAGTCCTCTGTGGGAACAATCTCCATGTAATGTTACCATTTCACATTGCCCGGGCTATGTCAGTCCTATCAAGTTATCTGCCATATGGAAGTAATGGCAATGCCACTTTAAGTGAAGGATGATCAATAAATGTGAGGCCTGAGACAATAATTTGACATTCTCGTAAAAATCGTACAGTGAATCGAACAAAAGTTTGTCTTTTAATTATGTATGTTTCAATTGAATGGAATGCTTTCAATATAAAACAATTCACGACCTGCATGTTGTTGCTTGTACTAACTAGTATTTGTTTATTAATAATAATATAAAGAATAATAATCCTTGCATTCGATATGGCGCTTTTCACATCTTCTCGACGTCTCAAAGCGCTTCACAGAATAGACTGTAAAGTGAATTGACTGTATATTTGTGGGCGAAACGCGGCAGCCAATTTTGAACAGCAGTGTCCCACAAACAGTCATGGATTGAAAATGACCAATTTAATATTTTTTTTGTTTTGTTTTGGAGGGATTATTATTAGGCGTGTGGAGTAAGGAAACTTGCCCAAGGTTTCGCCCTGCCTGGAATTGAATCCAGGTGACTCGCTTGCAAGGCGAGTGCTCTAACCACTGAGCTACAGGACTCCACAAATAACCATATACTATACCATATATAACTATATTAATATTTTAAAATATGTTCTTGTTTGTTTTCCTTCTGCCAAAGCCTGTTCTAACCAAGCAAAGTTTGGATTTAACTTAGTCTTTTAGTGAAGTGCATAAAAAATTAAGAGTGCAGATAGGTGACAGATGCCAGTAACAAAAGGACATGTTTCTCCTATTAATACCTCCACACTTTGGAAAATCTTATAAATGAAAAATAAGACTAGAACAAATTATTTTCAGTCTGAAAATGCATTCATGCCAGCTTTTGCCCTGAGAAACTTGTCAGCTTTCTGCACACTGAATTCATTAGAGGGCACTGAGTAGACTTGCTTCAATGTACAGAGGTAATGGAAATGTCTGGTACATCCATCAACTTTTTAAGGGTTATCAATGTGACAGCTAGCTACATGCTGCAGAACACATAATCATTGAAATATTAATGTACATCACACAGAAGCAAAAATCCAATCGCCCATACCTGTCATGTAACATTTGATATCCTGCATGTTGCTGACTGGATTGTTATTTTTAAACATATACAAATTAATAGGTATGAGACTGGTGCTCAGACGATTCCAGATCTTGTGGTCTGGTGCTGTCCACCGTCCAGACAGGACTTCATAATCTCGACGTCCAAAGTGAACTAGTTTGGTGAGGGGATCATACAAGCCACCATGGTAGCCTATAATAAGTTGAAAGGCTGGATTTGTATCCATATAGATCTCTCCATAAGCAGTGTATGTTATTTGCTTGATCATCAGCCCAGTACCACTGAAGACAATCAATGGGGTTCCCGTATTGTCACAGGCAACGTAGTACTCATCACCACTGCTAATCTCCATAGCAAAAAGGTGACCTTGAAGGTCATAGTACAGAGATGTTATCTCAGAACTGGTATGGTTGTACATATGAGTGACTCTGGTGGGGTTACTCAGATCTGCATAGAAGAACTGCAAGTACATCCCGTAGCTGGTTCGACTGGAAACCCTTCTTCCAACACCATCATATCGGTACTGCACGCTCCAACCACTGGATTTACTGTATGCCTTACTGAGAAGCCCCGCTGAATTGTACTCGAAGACGTCATTGCCTCTCTGATGTAGGAAACCATCCTCGTCGACTTTGTACAGTATCTCTCCCAAACGAGTGATTCGATCTCTTAAGTCATATCTCAGCGGAGTCAGACGAGCACTGTTACCGGGACTCAACAAATGGAGGTTTCCATTTAAATCATAGCTGTATCGCCACAAAGGTTTATCATTCAGAGACACCGTCTGCAACTGTCCATCTGCATCATATTCATATGCGTACCTAGATGTGTTGGCATAGGGGCCAACCTTCAGCTCCCGTTTCACCACACGTCCCATGTTGTCATACTGGACTGTCATCCAATACATGAGTGACCTGAAGATTTCATACTGCACTTCTTTCACCCGTCCATAAGCATCAAAATGTTTTGTGTGAGTCATGACTGCAGTGGTGATGATTTGATTAATATCGTAGTAAATAACACCAAATTTTCCAAATTGTTCAATTTTTCCAGAGACATCGTCGTATCGGTAAAGGTCAATCGGTAACGGTGTCTCATTGATCACAGCCTGCATGCTTGTAACCCGAAAACTGTTGTCGTAATTATAATCAAAGCGGGCATTCACCATTCCTTCTTCACTGAACCGGAAGATTTGCCTGTCAATGAGAGGGCCAATTTGCCTGAAACGTATAGTGCAGGTATAGCCTTCGTTCTGCAAGTTCACAGTCTTAAGCATGCCAGCCACTTCACCGTAGGAGTAACTAATTCTCGTGGTGTCATAAAGGATTTCAGAGAGTTTGGACAGCTTGCCGTACTTGTAAAGCATGCGTCGACCGGTTCCCAGGTAGGATGTCTGCAGCAGCCGTCCATCCTCTGCAAAGTCCTGAACAACAGAAGCATTGGCCTCAGGTGGCCTGTAGATATTCCTGTAATACCCTATAGAACGGATGGTTTCCAGATTTTGTCGGGCCACGTTGGGCATCGTAACAGAAGACAGACGATCGTTTTTATCAAACTCAAAGATGTACTGTCGTTGACTGTGTAGGAGTAGCACCATAGACTGGGGGAAACAGAAGGAAGAGTTATCCTTTTTGACTTTTTTTTCACAACCAAAGATTTGAGTGAATTCCATCAACTATTTCATCCCCATCTTTGCAGATAGTCAGTTCATGATTATAATGGACAATGGACTCAATCATTTGATACTTAAACCTGCTGTCGAACAGATGTTTGCAGAATTCACCTCCAAATTCATTTTATCTTTTTACTCAGTGTTTATACTATTAGGTATTAACTGACCACATGACAACCTGACCAGAGGTATTATTCCAAGTACTATATGCAGTTATTTTATTCTTGCAACTAAATTGTTTAGTTTTTGATACTCACTGAAAGGTGGTCACTGTGTCATAAAATACATTTTCTTAACAACACATGGAAACGCATTGAAAAGTAGAGTCGTGGGTGGAAAGTGCAATGTTCTCTGTGATAATATCACTGGTGTCACTGGGGGCAGGGATTCCTCCCACTCAGCTCCTGTTATCCCTGCAAACCACAGTCCTAACCGGTTAGGGTGGTCTGAGCTGGACAAGCAGCGGGATAGCTTGCTTAACAGTGCTATCAATGGCAAGCTCTACGGTCTTAGCTGGTTAGACTCCAGTAGTACCTCAACACATGCTCCGGGTCCCCAAGCTTTGCTTCTTGCCAGCCTGCACCTAATACTGTCTGGAATTGGGTAAGCAGGATGCGTCTCACCAGGGAGAGAGTGTGCATTCCATTCCAACAATCTATATCTGGGATTTCCATATGTAGGTGGGATACATGGAATTCTCAGTTTGGTTGGATACGCTTAAAATGCACATGCCAGATAACCAGCTGATCAAAAAAAATCACTGGTGTCAATTCAGTCAGCCTCGATTTTCAGGTCACAAAATCCATTTTTGAAAATGGTATCAGCAAAACAAAATATTTGTGTGTTTGTTCAGCTTCATGTTTTAAGGCTTTACCGCGGAAAATATTAATGATATTGCCAAAGGTAATGTTATTCCCTCTTTCCTGATGTTTTTTCTTGCACTTTAATGATCACATTGTCGGAATTTATACTCCTGATAATTCCCCAGTTGACAACTCCCTCATCTTTGTGTGAAAACGGTTGGGTCATAAACCACTTTTGGAGGCCATTGATTCTGCTGCAATATTTCAGAAATCAAGTTTTAAAGTGATGCCATGAAATGTCTTCTTGAAACTGCAACTTGTAAGAAAATGTACAGAAAAACATTGACCTTAGATACTGGACAGATCATGATATTGTTGCTGTACCTTTTCTAGGTACGTGTAGCTCCAAGATTTTCCATCAGCAAAGGTTCTGGACACAATCCTGCCAGCTGAGTCATAATCGATTCTTTCCGACATTGTACCTCTCTGGATACCTGCCACATGACCGGCTGAAGAATATGTTACATTCACTCCATTCAGTCTACTGCTTGGTGACCACAGGGTAGGGCGCCCAGCTTGGTCATACAGGATTCGGAGGGTGAACTTCCGATGATCATCATATATCTTTTCTGTCCTGGTCACCCGATCAAAATCCAGGGAGAGCAGGTTTCGGCTGTGGACCTGGAAAATTAAATGGAAAATACCTGAAACAAAACATCTGCAGATAGTTGTGAAATGCTCTTGTGTGGTTACAAAGTTATCAGAATTAAAATTTACCTTGAAAATGGCTTATCACTGGCTCATAACATTTCCTAAAAATGTATTCCTTTTTCATTGTTTCTTCCCTCTCTTTATATCTCTATGGTCCACTAACCCAGTCACAGTGGAGATGAGATGATCAACCTCACAGGGTTAAGGCAAGGTCAGTCAATGGGAAAAAATCCTCCACTGCCACAATGCTAAGGAGATGCTGTTTAGGAACCTCAATAGTCTCAAAAGCACACCTCAACATTTCAGGGAGCTGCAACACATTGCCCCATTGTGATACGTTGCATCTTTTAAACAGATCTGAAAGCTACAGTATAAACAATGCTTGCATTAAATCCAGCATTACACCTGAATGGAGCAGGTTTTATTATCCCTTATAAAATGCAAACCAGGTTACTTGTGGTTGGGATTCCATTGTTTCTTATTTATAGGCCACATTACAATAGCTCACTGGGATCAATATAAAATGCTGCTTGATAGGAACAACTATAAAATAGCACATTTTAGTTATGTCCTTTAGTATTATATCTCAGAACTTTAGATATTCATAATTCTTAGTATTAGCATATAATGAGTTCATATTCCTGGTAAAATAAATTTGTGCAATATCAGCTAGTGATACGCTTAAGGAACCCAGTGGAGCAGAGCACAACAACAACAAATTACATTTGGGTAGTGCCTTTCATGTTGGGAGGACATCTTAAGGGGCTGAACATCCTCTCGATGTGAAAGGCTCCACACAAATGTAATGAGCTGCAGAGTTCTGACTGCTTTATATCTTGTATAGGGAAGAACTGGGTTTCAGTGAGAAAGGCGTTGGAATAATTGAGTCTGGATATGTTGAAAGTATGAATAAGAAGGACAGACGGTGAAGGTGGAGCAGGAAAGAGAGAATGGTTGATGGTATTGAAGGTGGCAGAAAGTATAATTTTCTCTACTTTTTTAAGATTATGAAACTTTATAATTAAACATATTTAAATCTCCATAACCATACAAGAAAAGTTTCATAGAGGCCAAAAGTAGTTCTTGAATTTGACTGCTGGTGGTTTATTTATGGCAGGCTGAATTCCATTATTTTTCTCAAATCACTGAATCAACACACACAGTCTCAGTGGGTACCTTTGGAATACATCATTGCATTGCTTTAAAAGTTATTTCTGGCACTGGTGAATGTGTCCATTGTTTTTAAATCATGTTTACATTGAGCAAAATGCCTGTCACGTATGGATTTGCATTCTCTCTATCAATCCTCCCTTCAGTTATCGATAGCACTACATGGTTAACTGAAATTCATAGATGCCAGTTCTGTATACAGTTCATCCTACTCGTTTAAATCTGATTTTTTTCCCTCCCATACGTCACCTCATTACTACCACAGGAACATTTGGGATTATGAGTGAAATAATAATAACCATCTTATAATTTATTCTTCCTGACTCCCCAGCTCCTAAAACTAATGTATAATAACAAATAAGCTTTCACACTGGGTTTCACTGAAAACAATCTTTAGTTTGTGCTGCATTAGGTCATCTCAGCCAGTCTAGCAGGAGAAACACTTCAATTGGCTTCAGCGCCCTGGGCTAGGATAGATGCAGTAGGAGAAACAATCAACCAGGGCTCCCAATCTTGATGTCTCTCCAGTTACTCTTGCTGGCAAGTGCATGTGTATGGATGTTTGAAATATTGACATTCACAAGAATGGTCTCGGCTGTGAAGTCCCCAGTCAAATCGTCTGCCGTAACTCAGTGGGCTCACACATAAAGAATGGCCACTTAGCCAAAGTACTGGAAGCTGCTTGGTGCCCGTAGAACCACATTCCAGTATGTATCAATGCACTCTTAAGAGAGGAGAGGGAAAGAGAAAATTGTTGGGGAAAAGAAATACAATCTCATTGCTAGAAGTTTTCAAAATTATGAGGGGATTCGATAGGGAAACTATTTCCACTGGCGAGTGGGTCGGTAACCCAAGGGCACCGATTCAAGATAGTTGTTAAAAGAAACAGAGGGAAGGTGAAGAGAAATTTTTCACCCCATCAGTTGTTCAGATCTGGAATGCAATGCCTGAAAAGATGATGGAAGCCGATTCGATAACAGTTTTTATGAGAGAAGTAGATAATTATTTGGGGAGAACAAGTTTGCAGGACTATGGGGAGAGAGCGGGGGAGTGGAATTGAATTGGATAGCTCTTTTCAAAGAGCTGGCACAGACATGATGGGCTGAATGGCCTCCTTCTGTGCTGTAGAATTCTATGATTCTTTGAAACTGATATTAGTGGGCTGTACAATCAGTCACATATATGTCGTCAATAATCAACTTAACGCAAGAGGCATAATGAGTAGGCAAAGCAAAGGAACTATCAATAGATGCGCACGGAGACTCTCACTACAACACAGGTTTATCCTAAGGCATGGGAAACCAGAACCGCAATACAACAACTATGGAGGAATGTAGGCACCTGGACTCATGGACAGTGCTGCAACCTCTCTTACAGACCTGCGGTCTCGCAATATCCCCCTGCTCTACCCATTAACTAACCTGGACTAGCCATGCGGCCTGGGCCTCATGCTGACCAGGGTATCCACCTTTCTCAGACCAGCCCCAGCACCAAGAGAGAGAAAGGGATGTTGGCACCTCCTTAAAAAAGCACGCCCTCAAGCCTTTCTGCCCTGAGATCTTTGTGCCTGCTACACTATTTTTACTGAGTACAAGTACCGACCAAGCAGATCCTTATCTAAAATGAACCAATATGTTCCTAAGGAGCGTTAACTATACTCCTGCAAAACAGTATTGCAGCCTCGAAAGGCATGGAAACATTACAGCTATGGTACTATTTTGTTAACTGCGGACCAGATTTCTTTATGGTTACTTGTTTACGTTTAATTAACGATGAAAAGATACGCTCTTCCACATTATGTGTAGACCATTGCTCTTGAGTTGAAGTGTTATCTATCAAGATGGAACTGACCCAAACTGGTCGGTGAGGCAATAATTAGAGGGCATCAATTTAAGATAGTTAACAATTGAGCAAATTTTTCATGAACAGAGTAGTGAGGATATGGAATGCGCTGCTGGAAGTGGTAGTTGAAGCAGAATCCATATAAGCTTTCAATTGGGAACTAGATAATTATCTAAAAAGGAATAAACTACAGGGGTATGGGGAAAGGGTAGGAAAATAAAAGGTTGTTGCTCTTGAGGGCATACAGTGGGCTGAATGGCCTTCATCTGTGCTGTAAATTTCTAAACTGTCAGAAACTTTACTGGGCAGCCCAAATTGTAAGTAAGATGTGCCTCCATGCACAGGATTCCTTGTGGTGTCAGGGAACCCCAGAAACATTTCTGAATTCATTTTGAGTTGCTGCCTTCTATAAAGACTTCACAGCGATAGCTCTGACGCAGTATGATCGGAGAGTGAATTTGACTGTGAGTATCCGAGACATTTTAGCAACTGTTCCCAGTTCCCAGTTGGTCTGAGCACAACACTGTCTCCACCCATTATCTAACTTTTGGCAAGAACAATTTATTTTTTCTAATAAAAAATGTTTTCTGACAGTTGCTGCAAAAAAAAACGAGAACCCATATGCCACAATTGCCAGCTAGACTTCTGCTAATGGTTAGCTAAGTGTGACACCATCTCATTTATAATTTACCATTGCTTCATTCTCCATCTATGTTCACAAAGGCCGACCGGCACAAGGTACAGGGCAGATGTTTTAGTTTTGGTGGTGTTCATGCTGCTCTTTGTAAAGGAATTGGGCTAAAAAACAAAGTATATATTTAATATCTACCTTTCCTCAAATAAGATATGTAACGTTAGTTGATAAAGATGAATGATTTAAAAGAAATCTTTGTTCTGCACATCTAACATGTAAAATAATGTATTGTGAAGGATGGGAAAACAACATTGCAGTATTCACTGGCTGAAACCAAACACAAGCAGTGCAAGTCCTCTTACCACTGATGCTCATTTTGCATGACACAGTTAGAGGTAACTCAATGCAGTTTCTACATCAAACCAAAGTTCAAAGTACAGTGTAAGTCTGAAGTCCTGTAGCTCAGTGGTTAGAGCACTCGCTTTGCAAGTGAGAGACCTGAGTTCAATTCCAGGCAGGGCGAAACCTTGGGCAAGTTTCCTTACTCCACACGCCTAATAATAATACCTCCAAAACCAAAAACAATAATAAATTAATCATTTTCAATCTACGACTGTTTGTGGGACATTGCTGTGCGCAATTGGCTGCCGCGTTCGCCCACAAATATACAGTCAATTCACTTTACAGTATGTTCTGTGAAGCGCTTTGGGACGTCCTCCTGACATGAAAAGCGCTATATCAAATGCAAGGATTATTATTATTATTAAGCACTAATTTCATTTTGAATCTGACACCTAAAGACCCAAATGCAAGTTGTTGTTGTTATAATGGACACTGCCACTTGATTCAACGCTGGGTAAGCACAATGCATTTCCCAGTATGAGTCATTATGCTACTGAAAGCAAAGCCATATTCAAATAACCCAGAGGAACTCTTGTCATGTAGTGTGGAATGACACTACCCTTGCTTTTGCACATGTTGTGTGTAACACAGGATCAGTGCTAAAACACAAAAATTTAATCAGATTTAAAAAGAGAAATCGGACAGAAGCTCATAAAATGTTTCCTTGAAAGGTCTTTATCATGGGCTGGATGTTGCATTGGGAATGATTCTAACGTTAAACTTTGGGATCTCGGTTTGATTCCAGCCTGGTTTGGTGGGACTGAAATCATCAATAGTCATTTCTTCAAGTCCCTACGTGGTATGAAAGTTTTAAAATCTAACTTTGTGAAAATCTCATTAAATGTTTGGAAAATATTGAGACATTGGGCAAAGCACAGGGTTTAGAGTGATGTCTAACGTCTCTAGCATTTCCCTGTCAATC